CGAGCGTAGCGAGAACATTGTGAATCTTTGCAAATAAGTTTCTCTTGGATGATTTCTTGGTCATACTCACCACGTCACGGAGCTCTTCTTCAATTTCTCACCCAAACTAGTGCCAGGAGACTGACCCAACCCCCTTACCCACTGACACTGGTTCTCTACAGGTTTCTGTCTTTAAAGGCACAGCTTTCTTCTGTTCCGCCCGTCGCCAGTTGTTGCTCATGGTGGTACTGTTTGGGTCTATGGTACAATATTGTTAATACCGGCGTCGGTCGACGACTGCTTTAACATTGAATTGAATTGAGTTGAATTGAACAGTGTTGACCCCTGCAACCAAGTTTCACTCGTCATGCAGTACATTAACACACCAAAGGGATTTTCACATTCAGCCTTCGGACAGGGCAGACGAGCACAGCAAGAGCCAAGTAGCCCTCAGCTCTGTGTGTCACTTGTCACCCTGGTATGATTGATCCGGGCCTGAGGAATGATGTAGGGAATGTGACATCGCTGTGTTGGTTTCTCTGTGCTCTACATGCATGGCAGTAAATCAGAGGAGCAGAGTGAATCTGAAGTTCAAGATGCACCTGACCCTCTGCAGAGAGCGGATGGAAGCTCTCACAGTGGGTTTGAAAAGAGGCGTGCAGTTCACATCCACAGCAATGTGACAGAGGACTCGGCTGCAATAAGTTGCTGTGGCTTTAAGAGCAGCAGGAAGGAAAGACAGAAAACCATGAAAAGGTGGTAAAATCAAAACAGCAAAGAACCTGAATTAAAATTCAGTCTTACAACTCAGTTACTGTTGCTATTACAGCCAGTATACGCGAATATTTAGATTTTGCGTTAGGGTGACCTCATGCATTCCCCGCAGATATGTTTACATAGAGAATATTGGGGATGATGAGCAAATACCTTAAACCCTAGCCGGAGCCTACAGGTGGATGCTGGTGGTGTGGTGGGGCAGCAATAGCTTACAGAGCAGCAGCAGAAGCAGCAGCAATACGGATGCAGGGCAACAGCGGCATTGACAGAGCAGAGGGAGAGCTGGGAAATTGTGCAGCTTAAATAGACCGCAGATTGAAAGGGTGTGCTTGGTTAGTGATTATGGAATAAGGCATGTCACTGTGTATAGCAGCGCAGCTGGAGTTGACTGTCTGAACTAGCTCACAGGCTTCACTCCATTTATAACGTTTAAAGAGTAGAATAGAATAATGCAACATTTCCCTAGCTGTGTTTCAATCGGAATGTAGCGCAAACTTAAACCAAATTTTGAAACCAAACAAATAAAGGAATGTTTGTTTCCATCAACTGTACAGTTAAGTGATTTTTGGAATTGGTTCATTGAGACAGGCAGTAAGTGGCACCAATTCTTCAGTTGAAAAACGAAAAAAAAGGGCGCCACAAGATGACATAGTGAACAGCAGTGAAAAGCAATGCAGAAAACAGATAAGATAAGATATACAGCAGTTTAAATTACACTGCTGTATATCTTATCTTAGATAATATAGACTATGAGGATACTAAATGAAAACAGCTCATCAACTGTTCGCTATGTCAGAAGTTATACAACAAAAAGTGTTTCCATCTCCAATTACATCAAATTACGTTGATGGAAATATGGTTACTGTTGAATATCTAGTTTTAATGTCACTTTAACTTCGTAACTTCACCTTTCAATTCCCAAACTAAATTT